GGCGCTGGCCGTGCCCCGCACCTCGGGCTGCCCGTGGCCGATGAGCGCCCCTGCGGTCACCGTGGCCAGCGCTTGCCTGCTGAGGTGCTGCAGGTTTATTTGCAGACGCTGCCTGTGCTGCTTAAATCCAGGTTGGTTGATTTCCTGTTCGTTAATGGAATCCAGGTTGGTTCATTTCCTGTTCATTAATGGAAAACGTGCTAATTGCATACAGAGCTTTGCATGTTTGCTCCGTGGCCGATGAGCGCCCCTGCGGTCACCGTGGCCAGCGCTTGCCTGCTGAGGTGCTGCAGGTTTATTTGCAGACGCTGCCTGTGCTGCTTAAATCCAGGTTGGTTGATTTCCTGTTCGTTAATGGAATCCAGGTTGGTTCATTTCCTGTTCATTAATGGAAAACGTGCTAATTGCATACAGAGCTTTGCATGTTTGCTGTTGGTCAGAGTGTAAGCTTTATTTGGGCTCTAGGCTGCACTTGGGCGTTGCGGGGGTGGCAGCAAGATAAATGCTTGAGCAACATCAAATTTAATCCTAGATTCATAACCCATAGAAAGTGAGGGCTCCACCAACGAGTCCTGGTCTTTAACACACCAGAGTGTGTAGAACAGGAGGTTATTTTGGGGTAAGATGTCATCTGTACTACGTGAACCTGTGGCTGATCTGTATGGTAACTCCTGTGCTTTCTCCTGCAGGGTAGTTAGAGACTTGTTCCTGAGCTGTAACGGGGTCAACCAAATGACTGAGCTAAATTACGTGGATGCCTTAAGAAGCCACTCTCTGAGGGTGCTGGAGACGCTGATACTCTGCCTTGGCGATCAGCAGAAAGACCAAGCGATGCCTGAGCTGGACAGCGAGCAGAAGGACCAGGAGCCTATGGCTGACGTGCCCACCTCGCTCTGCAGCCAGCAAGCTGTTTCCGAAGTTCCTCGGAGCCTCAGCAAGTTTTACGCTGGCTTGAAAGAGGCTTACCCCAAAAAGAAAAAGCTTGTGAGCCAAGACATTCATGTCAACACGATAAACCTGTTCCTCTGTGTTGCTTTTTTGTGCGTGAGTAAAGAAGCAGATGGTGATCTGGACTCTGCCAACGACTCTGAAGATACGTCAGGATACGACAGCACAGCCAGCGAGCCGTTAGGCCACAAGTTGCCATATCTGTCACTGGAAAGCCTTACTTTGCCCTCCCTGGAGCATATTCACAGGGCTGCGGATATTTGGTCCATGTGTCGCTGCATCTATTTGTACAGCTCGGTTTTCCAGCGGCAGTTCCACAGGCTGGGAGGCTTTGAAGCGTGCCATAGATTGCTCATCCTGATAATTCAGAAACTGGCCAAATGTAAGGAAAAGGAGCAAGAAAGGAGGGAGAGCAGCAGGAGCCCTGGTGGGGAGCTTCTCAGCAAGGACGACTCTGCTCAGTTGGGTAAAGGCAGCGAGGGGACGCAGCTGGAGCTCGGTGCTGGAGCAGAGCAGCTGGGGCCTGGCAGTGCCTCCTGCCACAGCGATTTGGGCAGGGAGCACCCCTCTGCTGCTGCAGCCGCCAGCCTGGAGGGGACAAAGCCTCCTGCACGGGAGGAGACCGAGTGGGCACTGCAGGGCATCCGGCTGCTGGAAGCGCTGCTGGCCATCTGTCTGCACAGCGCGAGTGTCCCGCAGCAGAGGGTGGAGGCAGAGACGTTTCACCAGGTACTGTGCACCTTCCCTTAGCCTGCTTCACTCGTATTTGTTATGTGCAGAACTGTTTTAACAGTAGCTTGGTCAGAAGTTCTTCTAGAGATGATAAAAGCCGGTGCTCTCGTCATGGTACCATGTTTTTCGTGCAGTTCTGTGATGCTGTGGTCAGGGCATGAAAGGGGCGTGGGTGGATGAGCAAACCAGCGTTGCTGTTTCCCAGGAGGCAGCTTCCCGCCTGTCACCCTGTCACGTTTTGTATTAAGGTGCTGGTAAGGACCCTGCACCCCTCCCCTTGTTCTCCAACACCGTCTTTGTCCTCTTCTCTCTCGGGTCAATCCCTGTTTGTGCCCATTGCCGGCTCTTGAGAGCCTTCCTAGGACACCTGAATGAAGTATTGCTTCAGCCCTGGAGATGAACTTACTCGGGGTTCTGTAAAGCTGTGAATTCATAGGAATCGCCTTCCCTTTAGTGCTTTAATTGCTGTCTGGAATTTTACTTAGGAGGCATCAGGTGCAGGAGAGAGCTGGAAACTGCACTTGTGGCTGGGCCACCTCACAGCATCCCAGATGTCAGGAGTTGGAAGGGCCCTGGAAA